AGAAAAATTTCCGAAAGGTAAAGAACGAAAATGCCAGAAACAAACTTGGTTCACAATTTTTCCTCTTTGCTCACATCAAAATGACTGATTCCTAGAACTGAGTTCATCTACCTTTCACCGTTGTTAGGTCTGCATCAGCTCAATATTTTACTGTGATTCTTCAGGAAGATTCATTCAGGAACCCTGGCAAAATTTTTGTCTTGGATCTAGAGCTGAAGTTGCATTTTGAACTCTATATTTAATGCAAATTTTTTCTGACCAGAATGTAACAGTTTGGAGGGTTTTTTTTCACTACTTTTTCTGTGATTGAGACAGAAAGACAATGGAGAAATTGCACTAAATATTGGTGTACAAACTCATGAACACACCCATATCTATATAGCTGAGTCGTTATGGTGGTTTCTAAAGCTTACAAAAGGACAAGAGGTATTAATATCATTTTCTTCTTAAATGGATAATATTCATTGTCTTTTTGTTTCTTAATACCATTGAAGAGTAAGCCATAGCTTTTGATATGAGCGCAAGGATGACATATACTATTGTTTCTATAGTAGATCGTTGGCATGCATAGAAGATACTGCTGCAAACCCTCAAGTTCAATCCTCAGATTAAACTAACCAGAGTTCCTGGTTGGAAGCTGTAAGTGGAAACTAACAGAGCTGTGTTGTAATTTATCCACTCCTTCCACAAATATTTATAGAGCTCTTCTGTATACCACTGTGTATGTACTTTTGTAGGAGATGGATATATAGCAGTGCACTAATTAGAGAAACCATCTGCCCTTATTCTAGTAGAGGATAGACAAGAAACAAATAAACAAATGTATAATATGATGATAAGGAACCCTGGTGGCATTTGGGTTAAACGCTAGGCTGCTAACGGAAATGTTGGTGGTTGGAACCAACCCAGCGGTTCTGCAGGAGAAAGACCTGGTGATCTGCTTCCATAAAGATTACAGCCAACAAAACCCTATGGGGCAGTACTGCTCTGTCACATGAGGTTGCTATGAGTCGAAATTAGCTTGATGGCACCCAACAACAACAATATGATGATAAGTACAATGAAAACAATTAAGTCTTTGTGGTCTATTGTAGATATAGTAGCCTTCATATATGCTATTCCTTTTGCTTAGGAAACGCCTAACCATACTTTTATATGGACTAATTCCTACTCACCTTGTAGGTCTCCGTTTAGACAGCTCTTCCTTGGAAGGCCTTCCCTGATCCCAGAAGTTCAATATACTTTCCTTTCCCATGTGCTGACATGAAACTTTGTATTATTCAATTTTTATCTCTGATACTTCGTTGGAGTTGTTTCTTAGTATGTTTTCTCCACCAGATTATAAACTCTAAGTTAGTGAAAACCATAACTTTTTTGTTTGTCTTTATACCATTAGCTCATTGCACTGTGCTTGGCACAAAAGATCAACCCTTATTTTCTCAGTGAATTAATGATTTCATGAAATGTCTTGTTCTCACACATCAGTCACTTACAAAATATGATTCAAATTCATGCTTCATCAATATAACAGATTATTCAATGGAATAGGCTTTTGAGGTGATTTCAGAAGAGTAAAACCAGAGATACGAGATCCTGGGTTACCAGAAGTCTACTGCATTCGATTCTTAGTGCTTTGGTGTGGTAGAGAGGCTGGCAAGATTTTAAAACCCTCTTGCCTGTCATGTGTGTGTGTGTGTTTGAGGATATTATCTTCGATTTTCCATATCTTGGTACATAAAACTCCAAAGCGTACTTCATGTCTCAACATCCTTAAATCTGCGGTATCAGAGCACTGAGCAATGATGTAGAATAAAAATCAATATATGGGAAGATACATGGCGGCCGCCATTCTGATAATAGTAAAAGAGATAGCAGCATACACTTACTTAGTCTTACTATGAGCCAGGAAATACTATAGGCACATCATGTATATTTACCCATTTAAATATCATCACAACTCTATGAGGAGACGGAGGCCCAAGGAGGTTAAGTAACTTGAATACATAGTGACTGATGGAGAGAGAATGTGAACTCCACAGCTTAACTCTAGAGTTTAAGCTCTTAATTTCCACACTGTACAACTCTGACTTGAAAAAAACAAAACAAAAAGAAAAAACAAACCCAGTTGAATGAGTATGAGTACTACTTGAATTCGACCAAGGCATTTGCTTGCTATGATATTAAAAACTGGAATCCTGAAAGACTACCACTGATGCGTCTCTCTTTCTTTTTTCTTTGTCAGGGGAATTAATTGCTTACTAGACAGATGGAAGAGTTCAGTCGAGGGGGGAAAGCACTAAAGTATGTAGCCTATGTGAGAGAAAGGGCAAGCTTGGCATACAGTGATATGCCAAAAATACTTGCAAAAATATGTCAGAAAGATAGCAGGCAGGTGACTAGCATCCCAAAGTCCACATGACTCAAGCCAACATGGGAAGGGAAGAGAAGACAATGGAAAGAAAGATGACAGGTGAACAAAAACTCTTTATCTTTTAAAAGAAGTCTTGTGCAATGAAATAGAAGAGATGAGTTATGGTGCTGTAATAAGATAGGGAGAACATTGTAAATCACGGATTATTGGTAGCGTAAAAATCTTCAATGACTTAACAAATTAAAAGCAAATAATAGTTTTTGTGAAAAATAATTTTTGAGTACCTTACTGTAGGAGCCCTGTTTACACAATGGTTAAGAGCTTGGCAGTTCGAATCCACCAGCCACTCCTTGGAAACCCTGTGGGGCAGTTTTACTCTGTCCTATAAGGTCGCTATGAGTTGGAATCCACTCGACGGCAATGGGTTTTACCTTCCTGTAGATTTATTAATAAACTGTCTATATTTTGGAGGTTTTCTACAATTGAGAGTTAGATCAGGTTGTGGGGAAAAAGAGGAGAGATTTTTAAAACACCCTTGAGAAGTTCTTAGAAACAAATATATATGATGAATTAAAACTTGAACATAGGCAATATAGTTTTTAGTGTAAGGATGAAACATTTTATTGAAAAATTCCAAAACAGAATACAAGTATTTTTTTTTCCCCTGCTGTGGTGTGATTTTTATGGGGGAAAAAAACAAAACAAAACAAAAACTCATATTCTGCAAAATCATCCCTACAAAATAACAAAACTTAACGAAAAAAATAGAATTCGGGCGGGCAACACCAAACCTCTGCAACTTTATAACCAGTGCATAAGAAAAAATAGCAACCCTAATTAAAATACTAATTCAGTTAAAAAGACACACAACACTCCTACAAAAATAAACTTACGGTAAATTTCAGATTTTACCCTTAAAAAAAAGGTGAATGTAGCTTGATGAAAGTGCATGTAAGAAAGATTGATGCTTCTAAGTTATGAAAACAAGGGGAGAGAGAGAAGTTGCAGGCTTTGCACAAAATGCATAAAAGGAAGAAAACATTCCACCAAGCTCTTTTAAGACTGCATGCTTCATTGGGTATAGTATAGTGTCCATTTATTGCTTTCTGCAGTGAGCTGTACTATTGTATATTGTATTCAACTGTTATTGCTTGGTGGTGTAAACATTAAGGACCTAGAAAAAGTCATATATGAGCCAGTGACTTTTGTGTATAAGCAGCCACATTGTAATTGTAGAAATTGCAATGATCATAATTTTGTTTCTCTATCTTTATCTATCATCTATCACCTATCTATCTCTGTCCTTCCATCTGTCCATCATCCATCCACCCATCTATCCATCCATCCATCCATCCACTATTCACCCACCCACTTAGCTGTCTATTTATCAATCTGTCTGTCTATCTTATTAGCATGAGGGGCTGAGGAAGTTCTTAGAGTTAGTTTTTTCCTCCAAGTGCCAGAAAAATATGAATCCCTCTTCTCACTGTAGCTCCTTGGAAAACTCCCATTTGTGTCTTTTACTACTTGAAGCTATTCCTCATGTCTATGATTTTTTACCTCTATTGTTGACTTTGGAGATCAGAAATCATATTGATATTATTGGTTGCAGTGGATATTCTTAATACAAAAGTAAAAAAATCTCCAAATACTCTCGGTTACAATAAAATTCGTCTCTAAAATTCCAAAAAAATATTTAAGAATATAGAATATTTGAAATATATATGTATATATACTGTGAAATTAAAGTAAACAGAGGCAAATTTTTCCTTTGTATTGAACTAAATTGCTGTTAATGCTTTTTCTGTTCTATTTTTGTACTGAATAACTAGGTTATATGAATTTTTATTTCATGTTGCTCCCTTTGCATTAGTAAAAATCATTTTGAGTGAAGAATTACTTCTCTCAGTTATAGGTTAATTATTTCTGAGGATTTGGCAGATGAAAAAAATGACAGGAATATTATTGCTTGTGTTTAGCTTTTAGCATATTTAAAATGTGTAGCTAAGATAATTAGAATTAAAAGAGTGCTCTTTTTATTTAATGAATTAATGGAATGGGCATCCAGAAGTTGCACCGCGAAAATTCAATTGAAGATGTTTACACTATCTTCCATAAGTCAACTGAGTTGGTTCAATAATTTCATAGCCAATAAGATAATAACGTCTTCCTTTGCCTTGCCTTTATCTTCTGCATCCAAGTTACATGTGCAAACACATTTGATATACAACTTTACTTTTTAAGTTTTTATGAAAGAGCCAACATAATTCTGTTCTAAATATACACTTGAAAATATGGATTCAAATTTGATTCACTGATGTGCAACCTTGCGTGCAATATCTGAAACCAGATGTTGTCAAACGGTATATCAAAAAGGTAAATTAGCATTTGCTCAGTACAACCTGACATGACAGATGGATAGGAGGAGGGCTGTTATCCCTGCGAAGAGACTAGATGTATTAAAATTTGGACGTATGCATAAACTGGATAAAGATTTTCATAAAGGAATTTTCAACACAAAATCTATTTTCCAAACTCATAATAATTAGTTAAGTCCCCCCATCGCTCACTTCTTTCTATGCTTCTATGAATAGCTTTGCAAAGCATCTATACATGAACATTGCTTTATGGGCTCACTTCAGCAGCACATATACTAAAATTGGAACGATACAGAGAAGATTAGCATGGCTCCTGCACAATTATAGGTAATATGTGTATATTGAGTACACACTAATTTCAAGATACCGCATGTCTTAGTCATCTAGTGCTGCTATAACAGAAATATCACAAGTGGATGGCTTTAACAAAGAGAAATTTATTTTCTCACCGTCTAATAGGCTAGAAGTGCAAATTCAGGGCCTCAGCTCCAGGGGAAGGCTTTCTCTCTCTGTCAGCTCTGGAGGAAGGTCCTCGTCGTCATCAATCTTCCCCTGGACTAGGAGCTTCTGTGCACAGGAACCCCAGGTCCAAAGGACATGCTCTGCTCCCGATGTTTCTTTCTTGGTGATATGAAGTCCCCCACTCAGCTTGCTTCCCTTTCCTTTTATCTCTTGTAAGATAAAAGGTGGTTCAGGCCACACCCCAGGGAAGCTCCCTTTACATTGGATCAGGGATGTGACCTTAGTAAGGGTGTTACAATCCCACCCTAATCCTCTTTAACATAAAATTACAATCACAAAATGGAGGACAACCACACAATACTGGGAATTATGGCCCAGCCAAATTGATACATTTTTGGGGGGGCATAATTCAACCCATGACACTGCACTAGGCTCTGTAAAACATGTCAGTGGATCATTTTCATTATAATAACATTAGTAATAGTAATAATTAGAATAATCATATAAATAATAGCTAATAGTTATTGAGTACTCACTATGTGCCAGAACAATTTTAAGTGCTTTACAAGTGTTCTGACTTTCTCTCTGTCACACACACATATACACACAAACACACATAAACACATCATACATATACAAACTAATAATAAATGACAAGTGAGTGAATGGACAGTATCTCTTTTTGAAGATCAGAAGAGGCTTACCACATGAAGGACCACGTGGAGGAGGTGGAATTGAGCGAGGACTTGAGATGAGCCTGGGCTAGATGACAACATGGGGAGCAGAAGGCATTCTTGGATAGCGTGGGAGAAGCTGTGTGAGCAACAGTTCACAGGTACAAAACTGCAGTCTGGATGGAGAAACAGAATTTGTATTAGGAAGGAAGAAATGGTAGAGAAGGTGAAATTAACATTTATGATAAGGCTCTAGATTGCCAAGTTGTGGGGTTTCGTTTTGGTACTGTGTAGGTAATGTTGATCCAGGGAAGGTTTTGGGTAAGGGGAGTGGTTTGAAAGTAATAATTTTGAAAGATTTACATGATGAAAGTGCTAGTGGGATTGAAGGGAGGAAAAGTAAAGTTAGAAAGACTAACCAAAACTAGAAGACTCCCTGCATCTGTCTAGAAACTGAGCTAAAGTTGATGGTAGGAAGAAAATAGAGGATTTGGTTACTTCATTTGTTATCAGAAGCAAGGAAGGATGACCCTGATTTCCCTGGTCTAGGTGGCCAGCAAATTGAAGATCTATTTATGGAAGACAGATGATGAGTTGGACTCTAGAGATGCTAGATGGAGGCAGCAGGAGCTGTCCATACATAGAAAGTTATAGATCATGATCTGAAATTTACAGGAGGGGCTAGGTATTGAGAGTCCTCAACCCAGAGCTTAGAGCTAAATTGGAGGGGATGGGCAAATTCTGTTTCCAAGAGTTGCAGAGTGAGAAGCACAGAAGGCTAAGGAAAAAACATGAGTAATGGTGGAGGCAGAACCAAAGGAGTGGGATAAGGAATGGTCAGGGAGGGAGGATTGTAACAAAGATAGCATAGGCTCTGGGAAAGCAGGGGAGGAGAGAGGTTTAAGAAATAAGTTGTTTTCAGTAACATCTGATGTTGCAGAGAATGTAAAGAGAAAAGGGGCTGAGTCAAGATGATTGAATTGCAATCACAAAGTCACTTGACATCTGAAATTATAGCTTTAGTGGACCAGTGGGGATTAAGACTTTATTGTAGCCTGTATATTTTTATTGACCACATCATGTTACTTGATGTTGTCAACTGCCTGCATTCTGATAGTTTCTAAGTAGGTTAGATTGTCTAGGGGAAAAAAATCATCAATGTTTTCAGGCTTTCAACAATGATATAGGTGATAAAGGAACACGACATGGCACTATTGAGGTTGAGGTCTCTTTATATGGCCAGGAAACCCTGGTGGTGTGGTGGTTAAGTGCTACCCTGCTAACCAAAGGATCAGCAGTTCAAATCCACCAGGCGCTCCTTGGAAACTCTATGAGGCAGTTATATTCTGTCCTATGGGGTCGCTATGAGTTGGAATCGACTTGACGGTAACGGGTTTGGTTTTTGGTTTTATATTACCAAACTAAAGAAACAAAGTGATGTTAGAGGCCTAGATTTATTTACAAAACCAGTTAGAACTGTTCTTCATGAAGCCAGAGAATATATGGAAGCTGTTGATGATACATTCATTTTTTGAGGAAAGCCTTCGTATTCAAGAGGCCTTTGTTTGTTTGTTTGCTTGCTTAAATTCTTAAAACTTTTTAAAAGGATATATCTTGTTAATAGTTCCCGGCATGTTGATAAACTTATAAGCAAGAAAGTGGTTCTGTGTTCTAATAATTACACTCAAAAGGATTAACATTCAAGTACCAGTGTTCCCTAACCTGTCAATCCCAACCAAAAAATAAAACCAAGCAAGCCAACAAAAAAGAATCTTCTTAGGGAATACAAGTTTACTTTCTGTGATAATTGATAATAAAAGTATAAGCCTGAGCTGTCCAATACAGAAGACAGGAGTCAAATGTGGCAATATACATTCAGAATAATTAAAATCAGATAAATCAGAAGTTCAGTTCCTTTGGTACAGTAACCACATTCCACATTCTCAATGGCCAGTACAGATAGAGAAGGTTTCCATCATTACAGAAAGTTCTATTAGACAGCACTAGTATAAGCTATAAAAGCATCTAAAGCACAACCTAGTATCATAACCAGTTGTGGAGTACCATATATAGATAATAATTTCATTTTTAAGAATACAACAATATTTCAAGACTGCTTTTGTGTTTGTTAAATTTTGTTCAAATGAGGCTTATCCACGACACAGTCAAGTGTTAAACTTTCTTTTATAGTATAAGTAGTTTTTGCAAACAGCTACAAGCTGTTTTCCAAATAACTATCAATGGGAATGGGTGGGGTAGAGGAAACCGCAAAAGAGAATATTTTGAGAATCTTAAAGCTTTCATGCCTTGGGATGGGGCAGGTATCGCAATATCTACGTTTATCCCATCAACCATTCCAGCTTGAGTGCACCATATGTTCCTGGTTTGTCTTGATAGTCAAAGCTTCCTGTGGGCGCTGAAGGTGAGTCTGTCTGTAGGAGCCCGTTGGCTTGTCTCAGCTCATTTTATAGAGTAGCTGAGTGATGGAAATGCTATTGTGAATGGGGAGGAGCTAGGCATGTAATGAGACACAGCAGGGATTGGCAATGTAAAAACAGAGGTACCCCACAGGAATTTTCTGTTGAGTAGCAAAGAGGGGAGGTGCTCAGAGTGGAACATGATTGTGACGCAAAGCTACAGGCAGCAAATTAGTGTCTGCATTCGTAAATGCTTCACTCCAAGGCTGTAAGAGATTGTAGAGTGATGGGATAAGACAGAGACAGGTGCTTAGCAAATTACAAATCACAACATAAATAGAAGTTACTGAAGAGGAGCATGTAGGGTTGGGGACATGAGGAAGGACATTTCATTAAGTCGTTGCATCAAATTTTAAAATGACTCTTGCTGGTAATAGCTATTGTCTTGATTTGGGTTCTTCTTAAAGCAGAATCTGAAACAAGGACTCAGGATTGGTAGTTTATTTGAGGGATGATTTCAGGAAACTGAGGAGAGGGAGAAAGGAATATGAGACTGGGAAACAGGAAAACAATATTAGAGTCCATTATAATGGTCACAGCTGTGAGCAAGGGGCTTCTATTCTGCCGCTACCTCCACAATTCTCCTGTAGGACAAGAAGCTAGTTGCTCTCCATCATTTGTTGAGGGCTGCCTTTCAGGGGTCTTAACTCCCCTACATTTCTGGGCTGCACTTTCAGCTCGTGCCAGGACATTGAAGAAGGCCCAGTACGTATCAGAGGCACATGCTTGAGATAGGATGCTGTCAGTGCGAGATGAGTCTGAGACCCATACAACTGTTGACCCCATCTGTGGCTGAAATCAGAGTTGAGTCGAGGGATGTGACACAGGGCATCAAAGGCATCTGCTACAGCTACCACTTACTGCATGAACTCATGTGTCAAACACTGTGCTTAGATAAAGCACATGTTTTTTCTCATTTACCACACAGCCACCCAGTAAAGTGACTGTTATATATCTGTGGTTCATAGAAGACATGGAAGCTTAGAGAGGTTAGGTAACTTGCCCAAGGACCCAAATATAGCTAATGTCAAAGGTCACAAATGGCTGACACAGGATTTGTACTCTAGCCTGTAATTGTCGTGTAGTTGCCCGTAGCTCAACTATTCTGTACCGTTGCTCAGTGTTTCTAAACTTTGCCCTCTGTTTTCCTTCTAGCTTTTTGTAATGCCTCCCTGCATTTTATTTTTTTTCCTATTTACTCTTTGCAATTCAGAGTTCTGCAAGTTGTGACAAACTTATACAGCCGTTTAATCACCACCACCACCACAATCAATATATACAACAGTTTTGTCACCCCCAAATTTCCCGTGACCCTTTGCAGTCAGCTCCTCCCTCTATTCTCACCCTCTCTCAACCACTAATTTATTTTCTTTCTCTATAATTTTGCCCTTGCAAGAATGTCATATAAACGAGATCATACCGTGTATAGTCTTTCCAGTCTGGATTTTATTGCTTAACATAATGCACCCGAGAGTCATCCAAGTTATTATGTGTATGGATAGTTCATTCCTTTTAACTGATGAGTAGTATTCCATTGTATGGCTGTACCAGAGTTTATCCATTCCCTAACTGAGGGACATTTAGGTTGCTTCCAGTTTTTGATGATTAAGAAAAAATTGTTGTAAGTATTTGCACAGTGATTTTACTGTGAACGTGGATTTTCATTTCACTTGGGTAAATACCTAGGAGTGGGATTATTGACTCTTAAAGTAAGTGTATGTTTAATATTTTAAACCACTTTCCAAAGC